TCACTAATTTCAACCAAACTCGTCAACAATAAAACGTACCATCTTAGCAAAAGAGATGAACCAGTTAGTTTAAAAAACAGAACAATAACAACAAAAACAATAAATTGATACCCCAGAAAAAAGTAGTAGCAAGCCTACGACATTGGAGATTCTGAGAATAGCTCTTTATTTCATCTTAAATAATGGAGGGTCATGTTTCTGATCTGTGTAAGGTTCTTTTCCAGGATTTCTTCTTTCAGCATTTTCGTTGCAACTGCTTTAGGGAAAGTGCGATCATAATTATACCCTGTCAGAAAACACCATGTGCCAACAAATAAAAACTTTGAATTCAATTATTTTAAACATCTAAGACGTTAAAACATTAAGGAAATTCAATTTGAGGATTGTTATACAAAGAATAAATTGGAAACGGATAGCAAAGGAAAACAAATGAAAAAGTGATCAATAAATATATTTATTTATACAAGTATGTGCAATATTATCAAGTTGCTAGACATTTTCTTATCTGTGTTGCTATTGTCTACTTCTTGGGTTAATAAACAAAACAAGGGAGAGAGAGACGAAATACACATAAACTAGGAAATGATTGAACTGTGGAAATATCTCACTTTTATATTCAGGACAAAGCATTAGTAATGTATCCCACAAGTCCGTAGGTTATTTAGTTTATCCAATGGTTTAACTGCAATTCTAACATCTCATAACAGTTGTACAGTGCAGATTTCCTACAAGTCCATACTGAAACGCGTACATGCTACTTGAGACTTATGAACAACGGCTGCAAGCATCAAACTTTTGCCTTTGTACAAGGATTAGAACACGATTACAAAATTGAGGCATCCTATTAACACGAAGAGGATGAAGTACTACAGAAACTGCTTAGAAATTTAGAGAAAAAAGTTTTCAATATAAAATTTATTTGAAACTAATTATTGAAAGGTGAAATTAATAATTGTTCCACGTACGACAGTAATGAAATTATACTATCTGTAGATTTTTCACATTCTTTAATCAACCAATTTAAACACATTCTGATTAGAAGTCCGTAAAGGAATATGAAAAAAAAACAAAAAAAACATTTGTAGCTAATCATAATTTCATATCACTTTTATCATAGCTATATAGTGAAGATTTTGTTGGAGTTTTGCCCCCAAACACATATTCAATGCTAATGTTCAGGGTTATATTATCCCATATCATCTCACAGGTACTTAAATTAGAACGTTTCTTTTATTATGACCGAATAATTTTCTGTTTTTCTTCAGGAACTACAACGTTAGTTGAATCAATATGAAGTTTTATGAGTAAGTAAAGTATACTCTATTAGTTTTTTATTGTTACTTTCATTAACAGTATCAGTTAGAATGTTTAATATATCTACTTTTATTACTTTTTAATTGTATTTTTTACTATTATGCTTTATTGCTTTTTTAGCTTAATACGTGTATTTAGGACTAATCCAAATGTTCTAAAATGATCGAATCTTGTGAGATATTATTCATATTACAACAAAAATATCGTTAACAACAATAGTACTCAAATTATGAAATGCATTCCAATCATTATAAGTAAGAACGTATAAAAAAGTATATTTAATCAGCTATATTTATTACTAGGTTAATTGTTAGTTTCGCCTTAAATAGGTAGTTTGCTGTAATCGGAATTAATATTGTTACGACAGCGGAAGTCACGTGACTCTGATAAACACGTAATGAGTATCTCGAACGTTGCTGAAGGCTCGAGCGTTTGCCAGACGCCCTCTATTTTGTATATATATAAAATCAGCGAGAAGTGACGGCTAAGATAATTGAATAGCAGACGAGGAGATAGAGACAGATAATCGAGTCAAGCCGTAAGTAAAGTGTGTAAATCGTTGTGAATTATAGCGTGTGTTAAGTTAAAGTGACTATGGAAATTCTGTGTTTTGAGGAAGAGTAAATTAGTTTTATTTAAGAAAGGGCTTGTATCGCTGAAGTTCCTCTGGAAAAATTTTTACGGGAAATTATCAAACGAACAGAGACGTAACAAATTGGTGTCAGAGAGTGGGACGGAAAAAAAAAAGGAAGAAGATGGAAACCAGAGGTGGCAAATCAAACTACAGCTTAGCAGATTTGATGGTGGCAATACAAGAATTGCAAAAGAAACAAGAAGAGAAATTACAGCAGTTGTTGGAGGAAAAAGAAAATAAACAAATAGAGAGATTACAACAGATGTTGGAGGAAAAAGAAAAGAAATAAGAAAAACGATAAAAGAAACAAGAAGAGAGATTACAGCAGTGGCAAGAAAACCTGCAACAATGGCAGCTCGAACAACAAAATAAACAAAATAGATTACAGCGGTTGTTGGAGGAAAAAGAAAATGAACAAGAAGAACGAGAAAAGAAACAAGAAGGGAGACTACAGCAGTGGTTAGAGGAGAAAGAAAATAAACAAGAAGAAAGTCTCCAACAGTTGAAAGAAAGCCAGCGTACACAAATGGAAAACATTTGTAAATTTCAAAGCGAATTAAATACATTAAAGAATGGTTTACTGTCTTTTACACAAGGAGGATATATTAGCCATTGACCTAATCAGCCTCAAACAACGGGAAGCTCCTTCCAGACCCGCAGCTAAACCCTAATGCAGACATATTCAGTCCTGTTAGAAGACACATCCCAGATATGAATGTCAGTAATAGGAGTGATCCAGTGCGAAGGAAGCCACAGGAATTCGATGGAAAGGCACCATTGGAAGCATATAGAGCACAATTTGAGCTACTGGCATAAATGAATGCAATCACACCT